AATTCGACTATCGTGCAATCGTCGATGAATTTTTAAAATTAGTTTGTTATCGAAAATTTCAAAATAAATAAAATAATTGATTTTTTAAAGAAAAACGACTTATGCGTATTTTTAACACATACGTTTAATATCCGTTTAACTATTTTTGATATATATTTAGATCATTCGATGTCTCTACAATATTGTTCTCAAAATGAGTTTCGAGAGAATGTAAAACATTTATCGATTTGACTATTGTAGAATCGTCGATGAATTTTTAAAGTTAGCTTTTTTATCGAAAATTTCGAAACATAGTTTGAAAATGCGTATTTTGAGGTCCCATAATATTTGCTATGATTGACCGTTTTACGCACCGTTAACGAAGTGCAATATTATGCCGCGAGTACTTCAAAACGATATTAACAATGTAATATTTCGACCTCGTTTGATATCCCGTACTGAGCCTAAAAATGAATACAAAAACATAAATAAAATAAAAAATTTCATTTCTCTATGTGTGGTCTCCATGCAAGGAGACCTGGGTCTCCTCCGTGCACAGAGTCCTCTTTTTTTCTTCTTTTTTAAATAAAAGCTAATACCTCTTTATACTATATAAACTAACTACAATGATATATATATATATATTATTTTTTTAATTTTTAATTTTTTTACAACTCGAAGCAAACTTTTTACTATATAAAGAAATATATTTAAAACTTTGAGTTAATATTTAATCTAAAGTAATATTTAGATAAATTTAATTTAAAAAATTCAATATTACTATAAAATTAAATATTGTATGAAATTATTAAATATATCCAACTACGATGATATAGTTTTTTTTTTTTTTAGTTTTCTATATTTATAATAATGTAAAAATAAAAAATCCATGCACTTTATACACAGAGGAACGCGTCGTTTTTGCTCCCCACTTGTAAAAAAATGAAATTTTAAATAATTGAAATTTTTTTTACGCCATACCACATAATTTTTTTTTAGCAAATGATATATTGAGAAAAATGTTGCGAAAAAAATAATAAATAGTAATAAAAAATTAATTTTTTTAAGAAAAAACGATTTATACGCATTTTTTAACACATACATTTAATATCCGTTTAACTATTTTCGATATTTATTTACATCATTAGATGTCTCTACGATATAGTTCTCAAAATGAGTTTCGTGAGAATGTAAAATATTTAAGATTCGTACAATCGTCGACAAATTTTTAAAGTTAGTTTGTTATCGAAAATTTCGAAATACTAATAAAATAATTGTTTTTTTAAGAAAAAACGAATTATGTGTATTTTTTAACACATGCGTTTAATGTCCGTTTAACTATTTTTTATTTTTTTAAATATTTGTGTTGTTTACATTATAATTTTTTTTTCAATTTAAAATTCTTTTCTTTTAATAATTCCAAATAGAAACTTAGATTTGAGAAATTTTTTTGTGTGTAGTTTTACGTTATAAATAATAGTTTTTTCAATTTAGAATTCTTTTTAAATTTTTTCTTCAAATTTTTATTATTAATCAATATTTTTTAATAGTTTGAGATAAAATTTAATTTTCTAGTAATAATTCAATATATAAAATGATTGAAAAAAAACATATTTACTCCGTGCATGGAGAAAAAAATTTCCGTCATGCCACATAATTTTTTTGAGCAAAATGATGCATTGAGAAAATTGTTGCAAAAAAAGAATAAATAGTAATAAAATAATTAATTTTTTTAAGAAAAACGACGTATACGTATTTTTAACACATACATTTAATCTTCGTTTAACTATTTTCGATATTTATTTAGATCATCTGATATATCTCTACGATATAGTTCTCAAAATGAGTTTAGAAAGAATGTAAAACATTTATCAATTCGACTATCGTACAATCGTTGACAAATTTTTAAAATTAGTTTGTTATCGAAAATTTCGAAATAGTAATAAAATAATTGATTTTTTTTAAGAAAAACGATTTATGCTTATTTTTTAACACATACGTTTAATATCCGTTTAACTATTTTCGATATCTATTTAGATCATTTGATATCTCTACGATATAGTTCTCAAAATTAGTTTCGAGAGAATGTAAAACATTTATCGATTCGACTATCGTAAAATCGTCGATAAATTTTTAAAGTTAGCTTGTTATCGAAAATTTTGAAATATAGTTTGAAAATGCCTACTTTGACGTCCCATAACATTTGCTACGATTGATCGTTTCAAGCACCGTTAACGACGTGCAATACTATGACGCGAGTATTTCAAAACGATATTAAGAATGTAATATTTGGACTTCGTTTGATATCTCGTAATGAGCCTGAAAATGAAAAAAAAAAAGCATAAGTAAAAAAAAAAATAAAAAATTCATGGTCTTCGTGCACGGAGTCTTCCAAATTTTTTTCTCTTTCATGTCTCCGTGCACGGAGAGATTACTTTTTTTAGTTGTGTAATTTTACATTATAATTTTTTTTTCAATTTAAAATTCTCTTTAATTCTTTTCTCTTCAAATTTTTTACCTACAAGTAATATGTTTTAAAAAAAATTCTGTCGCATATTATCTCTATCTTTTTTTTTTTTTTTTTATACAAAAGTGATTTTTTTCTTATATCCCTACTATATTTATCTATATCAAAATGGGGAGGAATGGAAATTGCGTGTTGCAGTAATTTTGGAAGTAGTGTATAATAAAATAAAATATATATCAAGCAAACGGCGTTGTTTTTGGCCTCCAATTGAAAAAAAAAAATAAAACAAAAATGCTACAGTAAAGATTAATCAAAACATTGTTACTTTTTACAATGCCCTCACATTCCCCTTTTTTATATAGTAAGGATATGTGAGTGATTCTAAACACCAACACTAGGAGGTGCTCGCTGCCTATGCCAAATGATCGTTCTTTGGTACTACCTTCTTGGTAATTTTTTCTTGTATTCTGTGAGTAATTATCCATGAAGGTTGGAGTGGTAATTCGACGGGCAATATCACTTTAGGATATCGTACTGTTACGAGATTCAATCAGTTGATAAATTTTATTTCTACATTTTATTGTTCTGCAAATTATTGCAACTAATTATTTTTCAACACGTTGACCACTGCGGATTTACCGTGGGTCACGGGGCCCACCAGATTTCTGGAATTTTTTTTAAAATTTTGAACTTTTTTTTAAAGAAACGTATTTTCACAAAAACAGCCAAGCAAGTTGAAAGGCCAAACAAGGTGAAGGGCCCACTTCCGTCAATCTTCACATCTTAACCCAATTCCTAAAAAAAAATAATTCTTCTTTAGTTTTCTTCAAATCAAACATCCGCGATCCCGTCTCTCTCGCGACTCCTTTGTTACTTTGCTTTTGGGGATTTTCATTCTCTATTTCGTCTTCAACAAATCGAAAACTTGAACTATTTATGTCCTTAAATTGCCACATATTAATAATGGCAACGCCAATAGTTGTTGAGCATTTCCCAACAACATATTGACATTCGACTCCGACATGGAAGAGAAAAATGATGTTGTAATTGTTGAGAATGCGCGAACAAAATCTCATATTGACTAGTCATTAGGAAAATACCGAGCACATAAATGATATGTAATGCTTCACTCGACTTTATACACAGGTATATCCATAAAATAGTAAATTGAAATGCACAAATCATAATAGACTTTTTAATCAAAATATTGAAAATTAAATTAAACTAAACGGAGAAATCTACAGAGAGTAGGTGAGATATCTTGATCAATCAAAAATATCATAAAATTTTATTGAATAAGCACTAAACCCTTGTTTGATTTTGCTAAAAAAAAAATCAGATTTTGAATAATTCGAATAGACATTGAAGAAATATGGGGTTGAAAATAATTTTGATAAAAAATTGCATTTTAAAAAAATGGGACAAGACATAGAGCTTGTTTGGTATAGTTTAAAAGTCAATTAAAATAAAATTTTTAATTGTTATTTCACTATTTCAATTGTCATTTTTAAAATTTTCTCTCATATATAAGAGCCACTTTCTTTCTAATGGTCAAAAAATTAATTATCAAAATCTCTAACAAACAAGTACATAGATTAATCCCTTGCTTGAGAGTCGAGCCCTATTATATAAAAATTCAATTTTTTTTGTATAAAATAATTTTACATGTAAACTCAAAATTTTTTTTTTCAAATTTTTAATCACACATTTTCCAAAAAATTATTATTCTAAAACATATTTTCTCCTACAAAAAAAAAAAAAAAAAAAAAGGCTTAAAAAAATTATCATATCTCGTGGATGCACATAATACATGATAGATGTTGTTATTCTGCTTTCCTTGTCCACCTTCTGGTGAACGTGAAGTAAAAAATAGCATTTTCCTCAATGTCTATTCCATTCTTAACATTTTAAAATATTTGGAAGTTTATAATTTCCTAGTCTAATAAATGTGTACGTTATCTCTTTGTCATGGATTAGATTGGTGGAAAAGAACAAGCCAGTATGTCACTTTTTTCCATAAGTTATGTAAACCTTTTTGGTAAAAAATGTTATTCTGATAAGGAATGGACTAATTCTGTTATAGGGTCAGTTTTGTCTATGTTATATTAGGCAAGGAAATGTCAAATTGAATTAATATTATGACAAAAGTCTCTGCCCTTGAAGTCCTTTTTTTTTTTTTTAATGTTTTTTTTTGGTAATTAAGGCCGTTCCTTGACGTAGATCCCACAAATTGACTCCAACTGACTGTTCTAGGGACAGATAAGGAAAGTGTATTTTCATATCACAATTTATGTTGTAACTATATGTTGAAGCACCATATTCAAGCTCTTTGGAATAACTATATCGTCACCCTTGAGACGCATACACCCAGTCCCAAACAGTTGAAAGGAAAATAAAGTTTGTTAGATGAGCTCTGAAAGCCATCAATCATTTTTTTTTTTTGACTTGTCCAATTTTCTTATACATCCTGAACTAGTGTTTAAAATGTGCTGAAACTGAAAAAAATGGGACAGAAATTGCCTGGTTGTTGTGGAACATCTATGCTTTTTCTTAGAACTTGAAAGAGGCTGTTTTTATGGATTTTTCTTCCACAACATTGCATCTTATGAAGAAACTGTTTCATGTTGTAGGAATCGTGCTGCTGAAAAACTTTATGAGTATAAAGACTATGAAGTAATTGGACAGAGAGTTACTGAAATACTTATTGACGAAGAATACCTTGCATCTGCCCATAAAATCTTGGAAAGATTGCAGAATGGACAATGTTGGTCAGGTCAGTTCCCTTTTAAGAAGAAGTCAGGTCAGAGATTCATGGCAATGGTGACTAAAAGCCCATTATATGAGGAGGGTGAGGTTGTTGGTATCATCAGTGTATCAAGTGATGCAGCTGTATTTAATAATACAAACTCAGAAAACCTGAGAACAAATCAGGATCATGATATTGACCAAACTAAAGTGCGTGGAATGAACTTGAAAAAGATTCAGTGGCCTCGACAGCCATCAATTGCATCAGTGCCACATATTGCATCTTCTGTTTCCAATCTGGTGCTTATTATTGTGTTTTAGTGTCTGTTTCAGCCTTGTGTTTATTTTATTTCTCCTACCTATTACACTTTTTAACTCATTTATCAGGCTGCAAAAGTTCTAATACGTAAACGAGGAGATGTCGCCTGCAATTCAGATAGCGACACCGATTCCAGGGTCAGGGAGGAAGCCGAAGTGGACAATCAAGTTGTAAAATTTGAAAAGCCTCCAAGAGCACCAGTAAGCCTTAATATTTAGTGAACTTGCCTTAGTGAAAAGGAAGATATATAAGAAAATTTGTTGCTTCAGGGAGGAAGGCCTACTTTCAATTTGTCCATGGGGAAGAGTAGTACTGATGCAGTTAGCTCTGAGAAGGACGGAAATACATCTGAATTCATTCAGCCGTCTAAACTCGTATTTTCATTTCCCCTATTTTTTTTTTTTTTATGTCTACAAATTTGGACATCAGGGACTGAAATTCTTCAGATTAGTAATTTTTAAAATTTGTGGCCGTATAAATATAAATCTGTTGCCTTTAACTAGGATGACTTGTCCGTATCCGAGGAGTTTCAAACACTTTACCATGATCATTTTTATTTCTTTATCAGATATTACGTATTTTTAACTCAAAGTTATTATTAAATAATAAATAGATACTCATATTTAAAATATTTTAGCAATACAAATTAGTAACAAGTATAAAACTACATTTGTATTATATAAATGAAAATTTTTAAGTAATTTAATCGACGTGTAGGGAAAAACTTATGAGACACTGGGTGGGTGACACAATCCTTTGAACAATATAGTTTGTCTGAGATTTCCTTCTTGTCCTCTTTTTGGGGATACGGGCAAAAAGAGTTCAGCATGCAAATTTTTATTGAAATAGATGGAATCATGTTGTATAAATGGCGACTGCTGAGAATGAGATGTATTTTATGAATTTATGTACAAGTAGTCCATGGCCCAGGTCATTTAGCCTAGCCTAACTATTTGAGGTTGACTAAATTATCCGTTTCCTTCATTTTGCTTCTATGGAAGATATAATTCTGTATATTTTTTTGCTAACTTGAAATTTTAAAAAATTATTTTTTCTGATATATTGTTTGTATGTAGGCAGCTAAATTCTTAACAAAACTGCACATGGGGAAAACTGGGAACCTAGAGAAAGACAAGGATGGAAGCTTCCAACAAAAAAGTGATCATGATGCTTCTTTGACAAGCAAGGAGGTAACAAGCAAGCCATATTCACCGAGAGCTTCAGAGACAACTACATCATCCAACTATAATCTAGATGCTAACGATTATAGGGAGAATGCCCAGAAAGGAACTCTATATCCGATAAGAACAAACTTGCCTACGAATCCCTTAGGTGCTTCTGAGGGTTCCTCTGTTGGAACCTTTCCAAGAGATCGGATTGGGGGTTCAGAAGTTCCCCGATATGCAGATCAGTTGCCAAGATCAAGTTTCCAATTGGATGGGAAAGAGTGTGAGCCAAATTTGGAAGTAGAAAATGCATCACCAGGGCAATCAGATCCCCAAAAGTTCCCAAGTTCGGATGGGAGTGTGGGCAGCAGCCATGGAATTTTATCAAACAAAGGCAATAATGAGTCGTCTGCAATACCAGATTGTGAAATTCGATGGGAGGATCTATATTTGCGGGAGGAGATTGGGCAAGGTAAACTTTAATTTACTCATATCTTGAGGCATATATGTATGCCTTCACATCATATCCATATGCGATGTAGGTCAAATTTTGCTCAGGGAGAAGTAGACATGATGATAAAGATACAGAAATTTTTTGTGCTGTAATTCATATTTAGCAGATTTTGTGTTCCTGAGCTCTTGCTTGACCTTAGTAGTATTTTTCCAATTTTCAGGTTCATTTGCTGTTGTGTATCGGGGAATCTGGAATGAATGTGTATGTTGCCAAGTTATGAGTTCTTTTGTAATCCACTTCACGTATGACAAATCTTGTCCACGATGTACAAAATTTTTCCTTTCATATTTTTCAGGATGTTGCAGTTAAGGTATATAGTGGGTATCAATATGGTGAGGAAACTTTATCAGACTGCAAAAAAGAGGTGCGCGATGCTCTCAGTAATATGGTGATAATTTGAAGTACTTCCTATGAAAAAAAAATTAATTGGTTCTAACCTTGAGCTCAACATGTAATTCAGATTCATATAATGAGAAAACTGAGACATCCGAATGTAGTGCTGTTTATGGGGGCAGTTTGTTCAGAAGAAAAACTTGCTATGGTTACAGAGTTTTTACCCAGGTAATAGAGCGAGCCATTTCCCGGGGATACTCTTTGATGATATTTTTAGTATTTTGTGGAATATTGGATAGAATTTGACAGTATTAAGGAAACAAAATGAAAAAGAAGCTAAAATCTTGTTATTATAGTGTCTAGTCTAGTATGACGTATCAAACATAAACTAAAGAAAAATTGGACCTCCCTAACCCACCAAACAGAACCACTGGGAAGAAAGTGATAAAAATGCTGCGAGTGTGAGAGAGAAGAATTTCTTTTCTTACAAACGATGCTAGATTGTCAAATAGTTGTCCAATTGTGATGGAAACATATATAAAGCGTGTGGATTATTTTGTGTATAATCAGGGGAAGTCTTTTTAAAACTCTTCACAAGAACAATCAGTCTTTGGACATGAGACGCCGTCTGAAGATGGCTCTTGATGTGGTAGGTTTTCTGCTTCAAACTCATTGCTTTACTTATTCTTCTGTGTGTTTTGTAGCTTTTAGCTATCTGTAAAATTTCCATGCGCTTTCTTCTTTCATGCAGGCAAGAGGTATGAATTATTTGCACCACAGGAATCCACCTATAGTGCACAGAGACTTGAAATCTTCTAATCTTCTTGTTGACAAAAGCTGGACGGTCAAGGTATTGTTTGCAGAAATAAGTATATATATTCAGTCAAGAAAGTGAAAATGTCTAATTTGCATTCTTTCCAGGTTGGAGACTTTGGCTTATCAAAGTTGAAGAATGCAACGTTCTTAACAGCAAAATCTGGGAGAGGAACAGTTAAGATCTTTAATTTTTTTTAATAGTATATGCGATATTCATCATTATATTTTATAAAATTATCATTAATCCTTGTGCTGGTCTGATTTCCTCTGTAGCCTCAATGGATGGCACCAGAAGTTCTTCGAAATGAACCTTCCACAGAGAAGTAATTTTGGAAACTGAACCTAGAAGATTTTGCATAGGGAACACATGTTCAGAATATTTTTGGGGCCGGGGGTGGTGGTTGTTTAGACTGCAATGTTTCACTATCTTAATTAATCTTCTGTTGTAGAACAGGTCAGACATCTTCAGTTTTGGTGTCGTTCTATGGGAACTAGTGACTGAATCCATTCCATGGAACGACCTCAACTCGTTGCAGGTAACTCCCTTCCCACTATCAAGCACGTCTGCAGACCATGGTTTAGAGGATTCAATTGTACTCACTTGAATAGTGACTCCAAACATGTCTCCCAGCTAATAATTTGTATTCTAAACCATTTTTTTTCAAGGTTGTTGGAGTTGTCGGCTTTATGGATCGCAGACTGGACCTTCCTGAAAACCTTGATCCTCGAGTTTCCTCTATCATCGGTGATTGTTGGCAAAGGTAAGTAAATTTGAACGTGTTTGCTTGAGGTTAAAATTTAAGTCAAAATGCACGTTACTTATTTTGCCAAACATGATTTTCAAACTTTACTGCCCAAACTTACTTCTCGACTTACTTTTTAGCAAAGTAACTTTTTAGAAAACCAAAACAACTGTCTTCTACTATTCTACTCATCATTCTTTTTTATCTTGCAATCAATCTCAAAGCCTAACATTTTTCTGACTGAATTCAAACTCGTGAACAGTAATCAACAACACCGGCCATCCTTCGAAGATATTATTCACAGAATGACAGAGTTGGTACATACAGTTCCCGGAGCAACTGCCAAGACAATCCAGCTTATATAATTGGGACGGGAGGAGATTTTTTAGTGCACTGCCTTGTTTGCATTATGTTTATTATTAGTCAATTTACTTTTTATTCACATATTTTGTGGATTGCAAGTATTATTCACTTATTTATTACACAGTTACTTCTATCTATTTAAAATTTAAACTTACTATAAACAACGTACAAGCATACTTAAAAACATACATACTAAGTTCTTTTTGGTTGTGCTAAATTGGTCTGTATCTTGAAGAGCTTATTAATTGGAAAAAAGAAATAACACCAGCTCATTGATCTCGAAACACTTATAAGTTCATGAACGAGTAGAGACCAAGCAAAATATTAATTTTAAAAAACGCGATTCCTCTGGTTCAGGAAAAATAAGTTAAATGGAGACTATATATTTGTGGGATGGTAGCTCAACAATTTTACTCTAGTAGTTGGTTATGATAAATCTGATTATTTTGCTGATTTTGATGAAAACTCGACCGACCCGATTAGAACCATGGGTCCCAAATCAATTGGTTTATTTCGATCAAGAATTTAAACCACATAAATTCATATCTTGAATTTTCATAGAATCTGTTTGGCAAGCAATATTGAACGAGATAGTACTGTCGTATGGATAAGATTTTAGCCGCACTGTTGTATATATAAGATTTTAGCTTAAGGCGCGTTTGATTGCAAACATGGAATTTGTATGGAAAGATGTGAAAATTGTCAATTAAATGTGTTTAATTAATTTACTTTTCAAAGAAAATATTATACTTGTCTATTTTTTATTGGTGGGTTAATGAGAGATAGTGGATAAATAAGAGAGAGAGAGAGTAAATTTTGTGGAAAATAAAATCCTACTCTTCCTAGAGAAAATATTTTCTTTGATTTTGAAGAAAATATAGTCACGTGACCAAAAGTCAGAAAATATTTTCTACGGAAAAAATGGCAATCAAACAGCATAAAAATAGGAATTTGGGTGAAAAAAATGTATTTTCTATAGAAAATATAGACAATCAAACGCACTCTTAATTTTCTTTAAACAAGTTCTTTAAATGAAGTTCATTTCCCCCCTCGTAATGTCTATCAACGGTCTCGGATCATTTTCTGGTCGGTCGACGGTCGGTTAGAAAAATAGGGAATTGCCCTGATACGTTATAGAAAAAAAGTCTCCAATTTAAGAGAGATAATAATTGTACAGGAAACGGTGTGGCTTTATTTTTTTTCCCGATCACGTTATAGAAAAAAAAGAAAAGAAAAGAAAAGGGAAATTCGTTTAGGAATGCCTCAACATATATCTTTCTACGTTATTTTCAATATTATTGGCATAATAGAATTTTTATATTTAGTTATTTATAAATATTTTGCTGGCGCTTTGAGGTAAAGTGCATGTGAATGGCTAATTACTTTTAAATTTCTGCAATAACAGGCCACCATGTGTGGTGGCCATTAGGTTTGATGTTACCGTGCGGGATAACCACTGCCTGTTGCTAGAAATTAGAATTACTTCCCTATTATTTCTGATATAATCATGATTTTGATATCTTTTGATTGTAGAGTAATACCATAATCGTTGCTGAGTTGATTATTGGTTAGAATTGTTATCTTGACCTTATCCATTAAAAAATTTCCCTTAGACCGAGATCATGAATATCACGTAACTTTGGGAATTTAGACCGGGTTATAGTTGCGACCTTTAGGACCTTCTTTATGTGATTCTCTCTTTAAAAAGGTTCTTACATGATACATGTCTTATGTGTTAAGATGCCTATGCATCATTTTGACTTGGTGTCTTTTGACGACAAAAGATGAAATGAATTTTAGTACAACAAAAAGTTTTAAAAGCTATTGATAAATTGTATTCTACCATTGTGACTGATGATCAGAAAAAGAATTCGACGAACTTGCTATACCTCCACTATCTTGCATTTATCTTATTCCGTTTTGCGAAGATTTGGTAAACATGATTTAGCTAAAGAACTTCGAAAAAAACTTGAAAAACTTTATTTGACACAATCTATGTCCAATGAAATTTTCTTACTTTAATATATATATATATATATATATATATATATATATATATTTTTTTTTTTTTTTTTTTTTTTTTTCTTTAATTTTTATTTTCAAAATTGATCACTTAGAAGAATTGGATGACAATCTTGATGTTTTCAATAAACTTGTACAAGATATTACAAGTTGTTGTGAAAATGTTTTCGATGAATATAAAACTATTATTCTTTTGAATGCTATTCCTGATGTGTATGAGGAAGTCAAGAATGTAATCAAACATGGGAGGGAGACTCTTACATTAAAGGGTAAGTAGAGGAAAATGAAAGTTGAAAGAAACAAAAGAGAAACAGGAGAGATTCACCAAATGAGGGGTAGGTCTTATTTTAGGGATGGTGAGGGGCAAAACCATTGTGGCAAGAAGAATAGTAGAGTTAGATTCAAATCAAAGGGAAAGGTAAATGTACGAAATGTTATGGTTGTGGTAAATTAGGACATTTTATAAGTGAGTGCTATAAAGAGAAACAAAGTTGAGAGATCAGATGGGTGGTGAATCCAGTGAGGGAAATTTTGTTGTCCCAAGAGATGAACCTAGTGAGATATACATGCTCCTAAATTCTGAACTAGTCGAAATTAACCTATCTAGAATTTCCATATGCATAATTAGATTCTTGACTCGGATGCTTCTTTTCATGTTGTATCAAATAAATTTTGATTTGATAATTTGCACAAGTTTGATCATGGACATGTAGTTGTATGGGGGTGGAGTAGCATATATGATCATGGGTGTGTATAATGTTATTGTCAAATTTGACAGCGACTTTGTACACACATCAAAAGAAGTTAGGTACATTCCACATATGGATATCTAATTTATGTAGGGAAGTTAGAGTGTACATGTTTCACTGGTGTATCCTGTAAGGGAGCAATAAAAATGTTCAAGGGAGCACTTAAGAGCCTTAAAGGCTGCTAGGAGGAATATCATATACAACACGTATACTGAAGTGATGGGTGGTTTAAATTCCATTATCATTGACACTGATCACACACATAAGTGGAACAATAGGTTAGCTCATGTTAGTGTTAAGGGACTTAAGTACCGTACTGATAAGGGTGTGTTTGATGGGGATCAGGTATCCGATATGCCATTTTGCAATCATTATGTGCTTGGTAAATATTGTAGAATGTTATTTGCATTTAATACACACAAAACATATAGTGTTAGAATACATTCATACTGATTTATGAGGTATAGGAAGCAATCATACTTTTGGTGATAACAAATATTTTCTGTTTATAATTGATGATTTCTTCAGATGTGTGTGGATTTATTTATTAAAAGATAAATTTGAAACTTTTGTGAATTTATAAAGTTGGAAAGTCAAAATTGAGAATCAGATGGGTGAAAAGGTAAAATATTTGCATGTTGATAATGGTCTCGTGTTTTGTAATGTTGACTGATGATTTGTATAATGAATCTGGCAGAAGTAGACACAAGGCTGTGTATTACACACTCCATTAGAATGAGGATATTGAAAGGATGAATCATACTTTGTATAATAAAGTTAGATGTACTATGTTGAGTTCTTCCGTGCCTAAATTGTTTCAGGGTAAAGCTGTTATGACTGTATGTCATTTGACTACATTTGCTGCTTTAAATGATCATAAGTCGTATGAAAACTGGTACGGTAAACGTGCTGATTATTTTATGCTTAGGACTTTTGGCTATATTGCTTTCTCACATCGAAGTGATGAAAAACTAGAACTTAGAGTTACAAACATGTTTTCTAAGGTTACCTTGAAGGAGTTGAGGGATATAGTCATTGGATATAAGCTAGAAGGGTGTGAGAATAATCATAATTCGTGATGTCACCTTTAATGAGTCTGAGATGCCTTACGTGGAGAGTGAAGAATAGTAGGAAACTGTTAGGGAAGAGTCTCCAGTTGAGTTCCACATCCCCACTACCTTAAGTGAGGTGGAGAGTGATACAAAACAAAATCAACAGAACATAGAAGTAGAAAAGATGAGGATATTGTAGAGGGCAATCATATATAACAAGACCCTCTAATTGATTAGCAATTAGCTAGAGATAGAGAGGAGATCATGTAGGGAACCCCAAAGGTTGTCCGATTATACCATAGCCTATGATAATTATCAAGAATTAATTGATAATAAGCCAATTACACATACAAGGAGGCTATGAGGAGTGAAAACATGAGGAATGACAGAGTGCTATGAGAGAAGAGATAAGTTTTCTTGCTAACAATCAAACTTGGGATTTAATTTTTAGATCTAAGGATAAATTCATAGTAGGATGCATATGGATTTATAATATAAATGAGGGACCCACTGAGATTGAACTCGTGAGACATAAAGTCAAGTTAATAGCCAAGGGGTACATACAGTAGGAAGTGGTAGATTATAATGAGTCTTTTCGCCTGTTGTTAAGTATACCACTATTAGAGCCATGTTTACGTTTATTACTAATTATGACTGAGAACATGAACAAGGGGTACATACAGAAGGAAGTGGTAGATTATAATGAGTCTTTTCGCCTGTTGTTAAGTATACCATTATTAGAGCCATGTTTACGTTTATTACTAATTATAACTGAGAACGTGAACAATTTGATGTCACAACTGCCTTTTTATATGATGACCTTGATGAAAATATTTTTTATAAATCAACCTAAAGATAAATATGATCATGTATGTTTTTTTTTTTTTTTTTAAAAAATTTACCACTGAGATTGAACTCGTGAGACATAAAGTCAAGTTAATAGCCAAGGGGTACATATAGAAGGAAGTGGTAGATTATAATGAGTCTTTTCGCCTGTTGTTAAGTATACCACTATTAGAGCCATGTTTACGTTTATTACTAATTATGACTGAGAACATGAACAAGGGGTACATACAGAAGGAAGTGGTAGATTATAATAAGTCTTTTCGCCTGTTGTTAAGTATACGACTATTAGAGATATGTTTATGTTTATTACTAATTATGACTAAGAACATGAACAATTTGATGTCAAAACTGCTTTTTTATATGATGACCTTGATAAAAAGATTTTTATAAATCAACCTAAAGATAAATATGATCATGTATGTTTTTTTTTTTTTTTTTTTTTTTTTAAGAAATCTCTTTATCAATT